ATTAGAACGAAAATTAAATGATTTACGTTCAAAGATAGCACAAATAACACAATTCATCAATGGCAATAGAAGTAGGAAAATAATTAAACATGTTAACAAGATACTAGAACAATATAGAATCCACACTGCTCATGAAGAACCAAATAAACAAGCAGCTCACACATTAGACACGCTTAAACAAAAACTGTCAATCGTAGCAGGCTGACTACAACGATACAAAGCTTGTGCCCAAAGAAAACTCCACAATCAATTCACCCACAATGAAAAACTCTTCTACCGCAATATTAGACAGGCGACATCTAACGTTCAGGATAACAACCATAATGATAATGATCATAACTACCCTGACTCAGAGACGTTGCAAAACTTCTGGGCAGGAATTTGGGAACAACCATTCGAACATAACGCCCAAGGAGAGTGGATACAAACAGAACTGACAAACAGCAACACAAATATTCAAGCAATGACATTTGATCACATATCCCCAGTAATTTTCCATAATGTACTTTCTCGTTTACATAATTGGAAAGCACCTGGTTCAGACAACTTTCATAGTTATTGGTACTAAAAATTTACATCTACCCATAGTTTTCTCTATAATTACATAAATACTTTCATACAGGATCGTAAAACAATACCGTCCTACGTAACTTCAGGTACAACTTTTATGATACCTAAAGATCGTAATGATCTCTCAAATCCAGCAAAATACCGACCAATAACATGCTTGCAGACCTTGTACAAAATTATCACATCCTGTATATCTAAACTAATATATCAACACATCGACACTAATACATATACATATCTTAGCCGAACAACAGAAAGGATGTCGCAAATTCAGTCAAGGCTGCAAGAAACAATTAATCATAAACTCAGTTATCCTTCAAAAATTACAAAAACCAAAACCGATCTGTTTGGCATGTATATTAACTACAAAAAAGCATACGACTCTGTTCCCCATTCATGGCTTGTAAAAGTTTTAGAGATATACAAAGTACATCCAACTATAGTAACATTCCTGAAGGTCATGATGACAACTTGGACCACTGTATTAAGACTAACTTCGCCCAGTAAAATAGTAGAAACCATCCCAATAAAAATTCAGAAAGGGATCTTTCAGGGAGAACCACAGAGGGCTTTAAGCCCACTGTGGTTCTGTCTTGCTCTAAAAATACAACTACCGAAGGACAAAATGAAATTCTGACAATAGAATTAAATCATCTGTTGTACATGGATGATATCAAACTATACGCCAAAAGTGAGACTCAAATCTGTGAACTAGCAAACTTGACAGAACAATTCTCAAACGGTATCAAAATGGAATTCGGTATAGATAAATGTAAAATAAATTAAATTAGAGGAGGACAGAATTACCAACACCAATACACTTTAGGAACAGGAGAACAGATAGAACCATTAGAGGAACAAGTTAGTTATAAATACCTTGGCTACACACAATCACGACAGATACACTATAAAGAAACTAAACAAAAATTAACACTACAATTTCAACATAGACTATTCTGAAAATGCAACTATATTCTCGAAATACTATCAAAGCAATCAACACCTTCGCTATACCGATTCTCACATATTCTTTTGGGATTCAATTCAATTGGACCAAAACCGATCTGAAAAACCTTCAACGAAAAATTAATACCACAATGACCAAATTCCGCAAACACCACCCACGATCATGTCTGCAGAGATTAACACTGCCGCGGAAAGAAGGAGGTAGACTAATTGATATACTAAACCTACATAACAGACAGATAAAAGCACTCAGACAATTCTTTTTCTCAAAAACCGAAACCTCTATTCTTCATAAAATTATATCACAGAACGACCAAAACTTAACACCCCTAAATTTAAAAGATACAACTGAACAGAAAAAGCTTTAAAAAAATTATCATAATATTTATCAAATAAATACAAAAGGGGAACGCATACTTTAACACGTTAATTGCCAATCACGCGACGTCGCGTGTTCCCAGTACTCTTCAATTTGGCCCTTCACGCGACGTCGCGTGAAGTGTCCGACGAGTTTTGTATGAAGCGTATCGCCTGGGCCGGAGCGTTATCGCAACGGTGTTTTTTATGGGCCTCTAGAGTAAGGACTAAACTATCGTAAAGTGGACGTGGCCATCCGAATCATGCGATAGTTTTAGTGCTACGTAATTGGTTATTTCGCTTAGCGTCGCAGCTCGAGCTGGACGGCTTTCTTGTTTGTTTTTAGTTAGTTGTGAACAAATAATACGTATTTTTTTGTAGTATAAAGTGATAGTAATTATAATAAAACAAAATTTATAATGAGTGATCATCAACCTGGTACCTCTAGGTGTACGAAACGATCAAACGAGATACCTTTGCGAGCGCAATCAAAACGTGTTTTGTTGCACGAATCGGATATTCTTGAAGCTTTAGGAAACTCTGATGAGGATGATTTTGTGGGAAGTGATGAAGACGAAGATTTTTCATTGGGTGGTGATGATGGAGACAGCTCAACCCTGGAGTCGGAAGAAGATGAAGAAGGAGTTATATCACCGCTACCACCTAGTGAAATTCGATTTTCATCTGCAGAAAGGGAGGAGTTGAATGAAACGATTGAAGAGTCAGCTATGCCACATGAGTCTCCTGAACCTGCCACCGAAGGATCAACTTCACACTGGAGTACTTCTTGCTCGTCTATGAAACAAATACTATTCGTTCGAGAGTCAAAGCTGCATGTAGAACCGCCAACACATCCAATAGATTATTTTTGTTTATTTTTCAATGAAGAATATTTGAGAATGATCGTGGAGTGCACAAACAGATACGCCGAACGTATGAAAAGCTCCAGTGAACATCGTCATTCACGTTTTTCAAGATGGAAAGAGTTGACCGTTGAAGAGTTCAAAACATTTCTGGGTCTTCTGTTACATACTGGCACTGCAAAAATGAACCGATTGACAGATTATTGGAAGGTTCACTGGTTATATAAATCATGCTTTTCGAAATACATGTCAAGAAACAGATTTTTTATTATTTTACGTTGTATACATTTTACTCTCCCTGATGAAGAAGAAGACGCCACTGCTAGGCGTCTAAATAAATGTCAAAAAATAGTCGACAATTTCAATAATACAATGAATAATATATATTATCCAGGCCAGAACATATCTTTAGACGAGTCGATGGATTTATGGCGTGGCCGCCTATTTTTCCGACAATAAATCAAATGAAAACGCCACAAGTATGGCATCAAACTATACGTGCTCGCAGAACCGGATGGCTTGATTTTAAATTTCCACGTGTTTACCAGGCTTTCCTAAAGTTGCTGTTCATTATAATTGTAGAATTCGGTGTCTAAAATATTTAGAAGATTTTTTTTATGTTGCATGTTTCTTTGATATTTTGTTATTTTTTGTGTTATATAATTTAAATAAAAATTATTGATACTAAAAATATTTAATTTTATACATTTGAACTCATAATTGCACAAAAGTGCTAAGGTATCCCAAAACTCGACGTCGCGTGATGGGGCCCCTAAGGATAAATGTACACTCCACATGGCCCATCACGCGACGTCGAGTGATACATAACTATATTATATAAAATATTAAATATATATACTAAAACCATAAACACACCCGCAAATAGTATTTGCTGTACTTAAGAGTTAATTCATAAAAAAAAAGTTTTGGGCCACCAGCAGAAAACTTCAATTTTAGCTTTGGCAATGAACGTGTTAAAATGACTAAAGTTACAATGTATACAGTTTTCAACGTGACTAGAAAAAACAAAATTACTTAGAATATCACAGCAGTTCTTATTATTATTATTTGGGGCATCTATATAGTTTAATCATCTGGTTGGGCTGTATAAATATATAATTGTAAATGAAAATGATAAACATACATAAATATCAACAAAATAAAATAAATGCATAAAAATATATAAATAAATAAAAACCCAACCAGATGGAAGCCCTCGGCAGGGGAGACCAAACGGCCGAGGGTTAGGGGGAAAGGGAAAGAAACCGGCGGACGATGCGGGCGGTATCGAGGAGCACCGCCTTCTGCATTTGAGCTTGGAGCGGTCCGTCACGGAGTCCCAGTCGCCTCAGATGACCCGAGAGGCTGACTGGGATTAACCCGTTCGCAGAAACGACTACAGGTATAATTTCGGCCGGCAGTCCACCCCACATGTCGGTCACCTCGTGAGCCAGGTCCAGATATTTTGTTCGCTTATCTGTTTCGGCTTCCACGAGGTTCTCGTCATACGGAATGGTAATGTCGACCAAAAATATCCTTGACTGTGCCCGGTCCATCAGCACAATATCAGGCTTATTCGCAAGAATGGTCCTGTCTGTGATGATGGCCCGGTCCCAGTAGAGCCTGGCTCGGTCATTTTCGAGCACGGCTTCCGGCATGTACTTATAATAAGGCAGTTACCGATCCACAAGAACGTATTTCAGAGCAAGCTCCTGGTGTAGAATCCTGGCTACTAGGTTGTGCCTATGCAAGTACTCAGAGTTAGAAAGCGCCGAACAACCGGAGATGACATGCCTAAGTGATTCACCAGGATGGCGACAAGTTCGACAAATGTCGACGGTGCCATCCCTTAGGATGTATCTCCGATAGTTGTTGGTCTTAATAACCTGATCCTGTATTGCACAGACAAAACCCTCGGTTTCCCCGAAGAGGTCACCAAAACGTAGCCAGTGGAGGGAGGCAACTGTATCTACGAAAGGCTCATGTAGAGCCTTGTAGAACCTCCCGTGGAGCTCCTTCTCCTTCCATACGGTCTCCCGGTCGGAAATGCTCTGTACTGCCGGGTCTTGCCATTGCTCGTTGGCTAAGGATAGAGGGGTAAGTCCTTTATCACAAAAAATAACGTCCCTATAGAATGGATCATCCGCTCTCGACAGAAAATAATTACGGAGGCTGCACACTTCGCGATTATGCAGGGTAAGCGCGCTTAAAAAGCCGCGCCCACCATGCTTCCGCGGCAAGTACCTACAGCCTCATTACCGACGATCTCGGATGATGCACTCTGTGGGACGTCATTATAGTGCGGACTTTTCTGTCCAGAGCGTTCAGTTCGGTCTGAGTCCACCTGAGTATGCCAAAGGTATACATGAGAACAGGCATGATCCAGCCGTTATAAGCGTGTGTCTTATTAACGCCCGACAAAAGACTGTTAAGCATTTTTGTCAAGCGTGCATAAAACACATCGCAAACTGACTGCCTCATACCCGCCTCATCGACACCGATGTTCTGTGACATACCCAGGTATTGGTATGTTTCAGCCTCGGAAAGGGTCCTTATGCTGATGGGCATAGATAAGTCCATGCCCTCAGAGTTAGCAACCCTTCCCCTTTCGACATGGAGGATCGCACACTTATCCGTCCCCAGCTCCATTCCAATAGAATTGCTAAAATCACAAGTGATGTTTAGCAATTCCACAAGATGGGAGCGACTGGAGGCGAATAACTTGAGATCATCCATATAGAAAAGGTGGGTCACTTTTGTACCTCCTTTCCGAAGCTGAAATCCCCTCCCGGAACCCTCCAGTAAGGTACTGAGAGGGTTCAGAGAGAGGCAAAACCAGATTGGACTCAAACAATCGCCCTGGAAGATACCCCTTCTTATCCTTATGTGGTTCTCCGCAGCCGTCATCCGCTGGCCTAGATGACAAAGGATCGTACTCCACTGCCCCATACACTGCCCGAGGAAGTCTCGAACCGTACAGTCAACCTTGTACAGCTCGAGGACCCTCTTAAGCCATGTATGAGGCACCGAGTCGAATGCCTTTTTGTAGTCTATCCAGGCGGCGGAGAGGTTCCGACGGTTGCGTTTAACCACCTTGCCAATGACCGCGTCAATGAGGAGTGGTTCCTTGGTTCCACGACCACCGCCCCGACATCCATTTTGAGCGCGCGACATCACCTGATTTGAGTTCAGGTGACGAGTATTATTATTATTATTATTTATTTTTTCTTTCTGTTTAGTATTCTCTCGTTTCCGAGGTATTATACCTTATTCGCGAGCTGTTAGCCAAACGAACTCGGTTGAATGTTTAATCTTTAGACAGAAACCTACGGACTATTCTACACGTATTCAATATTGCTGCTTTTTGCAGCAATATAAAGGTAAGTTTATGGATGTCTAGATCCTTTAAGCTAGAAAAAAGTGAACGGGGAATGACGCCAGTTGCAGATATTATAATAGGTACAGTTTTTACAGTTTTTACTTTCCACTGGGATTTTATTTCGATGGATAAATCAGTGTATTTGGCTATTTTTTCATTATAAGTGGAAGTCAAATTGTGCGTATTTGGTATAGCAATATCTATAAGATAAACTGATTCATTTTTTTTTGTCATGTAGCGTAATATCCGGTCTATTATAATGCACGGTCTTATCAGTTAATATAGTTCTGTCCCAGTAGAGTTTGAATTCACGAGAGTCAAGTATGATTTCGGGCTTGTATTTATAATATGCTATTTTTTCATCTATAAGATTATATTTATATGCGAGGTATTGATGAATAATGGCAGCTACTTGGTCGTGTCTGTGTTTATAGTCGGTCTGGGTTATTGAGCTGCAGGCACCAGTGATATGCTGTATGGTTTCTGAGCTATTATGACAATGTCTGCAAAGGTCTGATTGTAGAGTGTGGTCTTTAATTATGTGTTTCCTGTAGTTTAGAGTATGTATAGTTTGGTCCTGAATTGCTAACATGAAGCCTTCCGTTTCTGGGAAGAGTTCTCCGCACTTGAGCCACATGTTAGACGCTATCTTGTCTACGTGTGTGTTCATCAAGTCGCGACGGTGTCTTCCATGTAACGTCTTCTGCAGCCAGCTGTTAATTTTATCTTGTGCAGAGATAATACTTTCATTTTTTTGTTTTCTTTGATCTTTGAGGTTTAAAGGAGTGAGTTTAGTATCGGCTTGGACAACAGCATTATGAAGCGGACTATTATTGGCTTGTTGATGGAAGAAGTTTCGAATAGCTGAAATTTGAGAGTTATGAAGATTTTTTATATCTATGAAACCTCTTCCACCTTCTAGTTTAGGTAATGTGAGTCGTTCGCTACAAGATCTAGGGTGGTGTTGTCTGTATTTAGTCATTGTTGTATTGATGAGACGTTGCAGCTTTATTAAATTACTTTTAGACCAATGAATTATACCAAACGAATAAGTTAAAATTGGGATAGCGAATGTGTTCACTGCTTTAATGATGTTTCGTGCATTTAGATGTGTGTTAAGTATTCTATTTAGGCGTAATTTAAATTCTTTTTCTAATGTTTTTTTAACGTGTTTTTGGTGAATCTGTCGAGTCTGAGTGAATCCTAAATATTTATAGCCAACGACTTCATCTACAGGTTCAATGGTTTCACCTGTTTGGAGAGTATATGAATTTTGTTCTGATTTGCCTCTACGAATTGATTGTATCCTGCATTTATTTATTCCAAATTCCATTTGAATATCAGTTGAGTAGCTTTCCGTTATATCAGCAAGAATATGTATATCTTTTAAACTACTTGCATACAATTTTATGTCATCCATATAAAGTAAATGTGATAGTGTGTGGTGTGTATTTCCGTTGGTGATTTTATATCCCTTGTCAGTTCTATTGAGAAGGTTAGATAAAGGATTTAAAGCCAGGCAGAACCAAAGAGAGCTTAAGGCATCACCTTGAAATATTCCCCTTCGGATTGCGATTATATCAGTCTCTAAACAAGAGTCACCATTGTAAAGCTTGAGAGTAGTTCTCCAATGGAGCATTGCGTTTTTCAAGAATTCTATAATTTGAGGATGAATTTTATAGTGTTCTAAAATATATATTAGCCAGCTATGGGGTACTGAGTCAAACGCTTTTTTATAGTCAATAAACATAGTGAAAATATTTCTTTTTTTGGTGACTGCTTGCTTAGAGACGACTGCGTCAATAATCAACTGTTCTTTACAACCTAAACTACCTTTTCTACATCCTTTCTGTTGTTCTGCTAATATATTTTGGGCGATAGCGTGCTTGTAAATTAATTGGCTAAGGCAAGACGTAATAATCTTATAAATGTTTTGGAGACAAGTAATCGGCCTGTATTTGGCTGGATTTTTTGAGTCATTTCGGTCTTTTGGTAACATATAAGTTGTTCCTAGTGTAATGTAGTTTGGCAATAATTCTGGTGTTTTTATAAAAGTGTTGATATGTGAGAGTAAGAGCGGATGTAAGTAAGTAAATTTTTTATACCAATAGTTATGGATTTTATCGGTTCCAGTCGCTTTCCAGCTATGTGTTTTGTTAATAACTGAAGTTAATAAATCCATGTTTATTTCATCGAACATCATCTCTGGTAAATTTACTAATAGTTCCCTATCCTGTTTAATCCAGTCGCTTTCTCGGTGTGTTTTCGGGGTTGACCATATATTTGACCAAAATTGATGCAGCAGTTCTGTTTCGGGTATCTCTACTAATTTTTTATTACCATTATTGTCATGTGTGTTTGTTAGGTTTCTGTAGAATAATTTTTCATTATTATAAAATCGGGCATTTTGTTGTTTTCTTAGAGTGGTTTCTTTATATCTACGTAGTCGGTTTGCAAGTGAACTAAGCTTTTGTTTGAGGGTGTCTAGAAAATGGGCTAGTTCCTTGTTTTCGTGTTCATGCAGTGAATGTATTCTATAAGCTGCTCTGATTTTTTCTATTTCGCGTTTGAGCTTAGTGCTCGTATTACCATTTATATATTCCGTTAGTCTCCCTATTTTAACTCTCAGATTTGAGATTCTGTCTTCTAATCTCATTTGCCATTTAGGGATTCGTTTCTTCCGACGTGAGGCGCTATTTTCTTGGTCCATTATTTTGTATCCGTTGTAAATTGAAACTGTAGCAGCTCCACAATATATAGCATTTTGGATTGTGTGAAAGTCTGAATCGGGTGGTATATGGACAGGAAGAAGTGATTGGTTAATGTAGTGTACAATACGCGCTAGTTTTTTAGAAGTCTTTTGTTTAGGTATGCTAGGTTTAGTTGTAGGATCAACGTACTTATATTTATTTAAAAGCATTACAAATGTCTCATCAATTTTATTTCGTATGTCCCCAAGAAGTTTATCGTCATTTTGTTGGTTTTCATTATGTTCCTGTACTTGTTTTGCGTTATAATCTGGGGGTGTTATTCTATCCGGGTAAGTTTGTGTATTATTGGGTGTGATTAGGCTTTCATGTGTCTCTGAATTTTCTGTGGCGGGTTGGGTGAAGTCAAATCTATAATTATCTTGCAAGAATATGTCAGGTTCTGTGTTGTTATTTGCTGTTTTATTCTGGGTAGCCATCTCTATTGCAATCTCATCCTGTAACTCTTGGAGTCTGCTTTCACTTAACAGTTTATTATTGATGATTGCTCTGTATTGATCTGCTATGCGTTGCTCAGATACGTGAGAAAGATGTGGAAATTTGGTGATAAAAGATTGATGTAGAGGGCGTCTGTAAGCAGTTTTGTTTGTCCCGACTGTAGTAATTCTGTAGAAACTTTTTATGATGAATTCATTTAAATCATTATCCCAGTGCATTCTTTGGTTACCGGTTACTTTATTATTATTTTGTGGGTGCTCATTGTTAGGGTTATTGTCTAAGTAGGTTTTCACTTCGTCACGTATTACTTGAACCTGTTCAGCTGTTAATGATTTACCGTTAGTTATTGCCCTACGTTGGTCACCTACTCGCTGTCTGCTAACATCCATATCTGGGTACTTTTCTATAAATTTTGCATGAAGTTGGGGAAGGTATGATCTAATATTTTTGGTTTCCATAAATGTGATAGCAAGGTATGTGCGCAGTATAAAGATATTCATATCCTCACTCCATTTCCTGCGTGCACATTTACTAGCTTTGACGGGTGCAGAGTTATCAGCGCTTGCCTTCTGCACATCATCCGTAGCCGTTGATGAAGAAATCGATTCAGAAGCATCGGATTCCGAGAGACTAGCATTGGTCGTTTGATATTTGCGAGAGATCCCCGCCCGGAGATTCATCTGGCCCCGTAAGCCGGGCACTAGGGGCATGTTATTCTTATTTTTACTCATATTTTTATTTTTTTGGACATAAGTTACCCACCACGTTTGTCCAATAGTGATGAGTCGCAATAGACTTCCTAACTGAGCCTATGGGCGCCACCGTTGGTATGCAAAATACTCCTCCGCCGCCGCCCTAAAACTGACATCCCACGCTAATGTCAATTGCACTACCTAAGCCTCGATAAGGCACTTGTGCCGAAGAGCCCTATGTAGCCTCTTAGATGGGTATACCGCCATCGGTCGGTCCGCCATTGCCTCGTTTGTTGACAGCAGGGTGCACCACGTGCAGGTGAGGTTGGCTTGGAGTCGTTCCCCGGATTGACTCCCTTACACCCCTTATTATTATTATTATTATTATTATTTATAATCTAAATTGTAAAGAGTCCCTCACGGAAAAATTTAAAGAAATAAACATATTAACTTTGGCATCGCAATATATTTATGAAAATGTAATGTATGTACATAAAAACATAAATAGCTTTAATAAGAATAAGTATGTTCATACCTTAAACACTAGGAACAAACATAAGCTTGTAATGCCAGTTACTAGACTCCACAGAATTAGTAATTCATTTATGGGGCAATGTATAAGCTTTTACAACAAAATCTCAGAACATGTTCAAAGTTTGTCAATAAATAAGTTTAAAAGTTTTATTAAAGAAAAACTGTACAAAAAGGGTTATTATAATATCAAGGAATACATGAATGAAAATAACCCCTGGGAATAAGGTGATCGCCACCATGCTGGTTCTATGAAAATTTATTTAAAATTGTATAAACAAAATTATTGTTAAATGAAATTATGTTTAAAAAAAGTCCCGCTGGGTTTCTTGCTGGTTCTTCCCAGGACAGAGGTATTTTCCGAACCAGCGGTAAATAAAAAAATGACTTTCAATAAGTATTATGTAATAATCAATATTGAATAACAATCATTCTATTCTATTGTATTCTATAATGTACAAATTTACAAATACATGAAACAGCTTCTATTCCTGAGTACATCTAATTGTCACCGACGATTTTTTTCTAAATTTGTTCTATAGTTATAATTTAAAATTTACCACTTAGATTGAAATGGTCAAATTATAAATTAATGTAGAAAGTAAATATAAATGTATACAAGTATGAAAATATAAGTTTTGAAGGGCATTGTGCAGGGTATACAATAGAAGCGTAAAATTCAAAAAAAAACATATTCTTACCCCTAATGATGTATTTTATTTTTCGAGTTATTTCCAAAAATTTGGAGACCATTTTTTTAGCTTTTTTTTTTAAAAACAATTGCACTTTTTGTTTGCAGAAGAAGAAAAAAAATGCCTTTCTCAGAATAATATTCCGAATCGAATGAGCCGTAGCTCATATTTTTAGGAGCACTGGAATGATTTTTATTTATGTATATATACCAGCTGGCACCCGACACGTCGCTGCCGCAGAAGAAATAATTGTGGAAATATCGTTTTCAATTTGGAAGAGTTATATTGTTTAATTAGGAGCACAGACTAATATGATGCTTAGGTATATTAGGATTGATAACACATACATTTAAATTGAATTATATATAACTTTCTCATAAATGTATTTCAAATAACGATACGCGCGCCACTTACTATAAATTAATTGTACTATGCCTACATATAACCTTCACGCAAGTGCAAGCAATTGGTTGCGAAGTTTTACCGCAATCTGATGAACGGTGTGGCAGCGCTTAAAATACGAACAAACAAATATTAATTTTTATATATTAGAAGAAGAAATATGATTTTCAAATTATTTTTCTCGGTACGATACACGGGCCACATAGTGTAAGTTAATTGTACTATGCCTCTAACCTTCGCACAAGTGCAAACAATAAGTTGACAAAGTTTACCGCAATATGATGAACGGTATCGCAGCGCATAAAATACGAACAAACAAAAATTTATTTTTACATATTAGATAAAGATACATATTTGTATCGTATTTAAAAGCATAAATATTTTACAATACTTAATGTAACTTACTTATGTAAGTTTATGTGGAACAAAAACAATGCTGAACGAACGAGAAGTCTATTTGCATGCGCATAATAAACACCTAGCTAAAGATGCCAAGACATAAATCGCTTTCGAAGTTTGCGTGCATACTCGCAAGTTTGCAAACATTCCTCCAAACATGCACTGCGTCTTCAGCAACGTGGGGCACGCCACGGTTGTTCCGCGACCCGCAAGCGTTCGTCTCGCTAATTCGCTTGCTTGCTTAGTACTTACTTCAATGCAGGTACAGCCGCGTGCGCACGTATTTTCGTAACATAGATACTCCTGCCGCCAACTTCATCGTTCCTTAGTCGAGAGTTCTTGTGATACGTGATAAGAATATATGTGAGCGTTTCAAGTGACCATAAATTACAAACAAGACCATGTGCGGGTAGGACGTGCAAACTTGCGTTAATGATAATGTGTCCAAATTGAGCAGACGTCATTACGATGCGGTAAATGTTGTGTCCACTAGACGAATATTCAGTTATTCAGTTAGTGAATAGTGATGCCAGGACACGCAGGAAGCCCGTACTGGGCCGCTGTAGATTTTGACAGTGAAGGTGATGATGACCAGATGCAGCAATCTCATAGAGTCTATCACGATCCTTGGGACAACGATGCCTTCGGAATGATACATGGAGAAACACCAGATTCGAGTCAAGGCGAAAATTTGAATTCATTTGCTGGTGAACCTGTTAGCGCCAGTTTTTATTACGTACCCACTAAGAACTATGACTCCAGTGAAGATCAACTCAATCGCTCAACGCCAATCAAAAGAATTGTACCACCTGAAGATGTTACAGAATACTCAATTTATGGAAGAAAATCATCTAAGGTTGTTATACCGGAATTTTCCGATATGCCTGTTTACAACACTAGACCCATCTGTGAGTAACGTTGATATTATATTCCAGAAAGTAATTTAAATATAATGTAATTGATAGAATCAGGCGTTACTTTGCGGAAATCCATTATAATAGGATTGTTATAAACTAATTTGCTTAATTCCGCGTAAAGAAGACACATCATTTTCTTTCTTTACGCTGAATTAAGCAAATAGTTTATAACTATCCCATTAATTATAATGCTCAATACTAGATTTAACTAAACGAAACAATAAAATTTTAAGGTATCTATTCTTTGTCTATACTTTAAATTCAATGGAGAATCGGAAAATTGGACAGGTCTTGAAATATGTTGAATTATTATTTGCATTTTCAGCGGATCGAAGACGTTCTCTATACATTGAAGAGCCCTTGTATGCTCCCCATCCAATGGTGTACGAAACACCTTATGCATATCTACCACAACCTGGTTACATGCCGGTACATAGGTCACGCATGTCCTTAATTCATCAGCAGAACTTCGCAATGTCTAACCTCGGCCATGGCGAACACAGAAGACCATCCAGGTAACCAAAACCTTCGAATTCACAATGAAACCGATGCGTCATAAAATATTGCGTGACCCTTAATGAATATTAAGTAGGTAAGCAACTTCAAAATTAATTCATATGCCTTAAGTAATACAGTTTCATAACACATATATTTATTCCAATTTTACGCGCTGTTAAACTTTTGACAAAGAATTGAAAATTAATGAAAATTATAATTTAACAGTGTTTAAGAGTATAATAGCAATCAATAAAAATTTAATTTCATTTTAAGGTTACAAAATTATGGTAAGGTAAAAACAAACTGACATATATACATTGTTTTATATTTATTAAGTACGAAACTTTAAGTAATAACATTGGAATTTACTCCCCTATTTTCTTTTTCGATCTAATAACTCAGCTAAGCGTTCATTAGTTATTTCAACAAAATGTAGGTACCTAATTGGCGTGAAGATGATAATAATTATTATACTTATAACATAGGTATTTGCTTAATTGATATTCAGCCTAACATAATGTTTTGTGTTGTATTTATTATGGGACATATTCTGCGATTTTGATACTTATTTGTCTCAACTTAATTACACTTGCATGTGTTTATATCGTTACGTCGCTCAGAATTACCTTCCAGCCCGGCTAGCATGGGCGGGGGACAAAAATTTATCCCCCGATTATATCCACTGATAAGAGATAAAATTATCCTTGTTATGTCAAACGGGGAGAAGTATATCCCCGTGTGACATAACGAGTAGACATATGTCCCCCGTCCGTAGCATGGAAAGGAAAGATAAAAAATTATGCTTTTTTGATATTTGAAAGGAACAATTTTATCCTAGTTCATTGGACGTGGACGTGGGTTGAAGTTTATATTCATAAAAAAAATCTATCTAAGTCTAAGTCTATCTCCCAATTTATCTACTGTGAATATTATTCCACCGGTGTGCCCATGCTCTAAGGGTGGATAAAACTAAGCGCGGGGATAAACATTTTCTCCTTTCCCCGGGGATAAATTTGTCTCCTGCACATGTTATCCCTGCAGGAGTAAAGTTGGGTTGATAAACAAAATTACCTACTCGTTACATATTAAACTCACTCCATTTCTCCTTGTTTAATTAGTTTTTAATTTGTAAGAGAGTACTGAAATGCTAAGTAATTGTGAAGATAAATATAATAGTCGTCGTTACGCCTGTTGGTCACAACACCTGAGAGCCTGAGACGCTTGAGATGTTGCCCGCGACCACAATAGAACATGCGAACATTTTCACGGTAATGAGACGGCTAATAAACGACATCAAGAACACGAATCACTTATGGCTACGATTTCTAGCATCTATCGTTTGTGTACTATGCTTGTGACAAACGTAGTATATTTCCTACAAAACCTAACGCTTAATAATACTCCATAGTTATCTAATAACCCATAAAGCAATAGGGCATTCATTGCAATCACAAATACGTGGACTAGTTATATCAAAGTACCAGAGAACTGCGCTGCAGAGCCTGACACCACGAAACGTTGTTTTGTCGGGGTCCGATTTTTATAATTATCCTCGTGTCATTGGCGCTACATTATAAGTAGAATAGCCATAATATATCTTGGCACTACTAGCAAGGTGACCAAATTTTTTTTTACTTAAAATTTTCCTTGCCTCAGGCATGTCTTGACAGATATATGACTGTATATAAATTGTAGATTCCCCTTTTATTATCTTTTTTATAGAATAAGGGTAACAAACGAGCACACAGTCCATCTGATGGTAAGTGGATGCAGTGGCCTTTAGACATCTAGATCTATCCGACTTATTTACGTGGTAGAGCCATGCTACAGCTATACTACTGGTATAGCTGTAGCAAGAATGGGTCGGCTTGAACGGGGAAGGACCACGCCACGCTCTCACAGAATACCAGTGTAAAATAGCAGCTTAACATTGCTGTGTTTCGTATGGTGAGTGTAGAGAACCGGAGACCTTTTTTGCTGTAAAAGAGGCATTCCATCTTAGTCCTCACGGGTGACAACGCATTTGCATTTTGATTATATATTGAGGATAGATGTAGATGTCTATGAGTCACAGCAACCACTTACCATCAGGTGGACTGTGTGCTCGTTTTTCGCCCTTACCCTATAAAAAAAGTATATCTATCCATTATACTCAATCAAAGATTGGAGATGAATAAGATAACATTTATAATAACTTATAATAAGAATAGGAATATATATATATATATATATAGGAATTAAAAACCCGGACAAGTGCAAGTTGGGCCTTGTCATAGGATTCCGTACATTAATGTCCTATTAAATTAATTAAAAGTAGCTCGTTTGTCACCCTATCCTATAGAAAAAAATCCTCGATCAAAAATCAAAATGCAGATGCATTTTCACCCCTGAATACTAAGACAGGATGTCTTTTTCAAGGGTCTCCGGTTCTCTACACTCACCATATAAAACGCATAAGCAGTAATCTGTTACTTTGCGCTTACATGCTGTGTGATCACGGTCCTTCCCCTGTCGAGCCGACCAATTCGTGCTACTACCATAAAATAGCTGGAGCGTAACTCTAATACGTATGAATAGTATTCTTACATTCTTACATTTATGCGAATACCACACATTAAATAAAACTAATTTTAGTGTATTGTTTGTCAAGAGTATAATAATCACTACGATTAGTGCTTTGCGACACTCATAAGCCATTCAAAACGTTGGATATGTAATTCCGGGCATTGTTTCATTTCATAAGAGAAATAATGAGTTAGTATTATTAAAACTAGCTGTACGCGCAAACTTCAACGCATCCTATTAATATAAAATGAAACTGTGCTTTGAATGCTATAGGTTTTAACAACTTATTATTAATCTTAAATATCATATTTGCGCACTGGATCTGGAGCAGCTAGATAACCCATACTACTTCAATAAATTTACTATTTAGGTACAACGGATTTTCTCGTCGCCCATACCACAAAGTCTAAAGACAAATGGCTTCAAACAGTGCCTTCTTCCTGTACTCACTTATGATATCTATATTCTGTGATGTGGGTGCTGTCAGCCTATATGGCTCTTACAGCTTCATCTGACTCAGCTATGTGCACTTATGATGGCGTTACTTGGACACTCACGATACGACTACTCCACAAGCTCAAAGTAGCTCAACGAGCGATGGAAAGACCTATGCTCGGAGTTTCTCTGATGGATAAAATTCATAATGAAGAAATTCGCCGGAGAACCGAGATTACTGACATAGCCTTACGTGTTTGTAAACTAAAGTGGCAATGGGCTGGTCATGTATGTCGCGGAAGTGACAAAAGGTAGAGTAGTCGTGTTATGGAGTAGTAATATAGTTGCAGCATGGCTCTACTACGTATAACATATACGTAGTAAAGTCACGCTGCAACTATATTATGGTTGTAGCACGAATGGGTCAAAACAAGGAACACGGAAAGAAAGGACAACGTTTTCACAGAATACCAGCGTGAAATAGCAGCAATTATTCGGACATAAAAATAAAAGTTTGATGATTTTCTAACAGTAAAAGAATCATTGAAATCGGATACCTACCGTGGTGAAAAATTATCGCTGAACATAATATATTTAAAAAAATCAGATGAGTTGAAAACTAGTATCCTTTCATATCTTCCTTTTCATGAAATTGGTTGAAAATATGAAACGGTTTTTATTTCTTCGACTACTATTTACTTAATTGACACTTGAATAAATAACGGATTGAAAATATAATGATGAATTAGTTTCGCACTTGTTACAATTTACCATGTTGATAAAGCTAGCCTTGTGTTCATAATATGACGCCTTGGCTACCCACCGTGTGAACGTGTGTCCGTTTTTGCTTGTTATAAATGAAAGTTGCATCTGTGGGAATCTAGCTTGTTTTTTGTTTATGTAGTGAAACTTGTTCCTAGCATTGACCTCTACATTTTATGAAAATGTGTAAAACAATAAAAATTAAAAACGTCTCGTTTTGACATCTATTCTATACAAATAAATAAAATTGATGTGTCTGTTTGTAATGTCAAAATAACAGCTTTTTGCTAAATGCATATGAAAGTATACGGTAGGTAGGCACTTATAACAGAAACACAATATTTTTTTAATTTTTGTCTGTCTGTCTGTCTGTTTGTTCCGGCTAATCTGCGAAACGATTGGACCGATTTCGACGGGACTTTCACTGGCAGATAGATGATGTTATAAAGAGTAACTTAGGTTACTTATATTTTACAAAAATAATTAGGGTTCCGTAACACATAATTAAAACCATAAATTACACACGGGGGAAGTCGCGGGGAACAGCTAGTTAACACTAATTCAGTATATTATCTGGATTGATGTAGGTATTGGTACTAACTGTCTTAAAAAATGATAAGAATTAAAAATAAGAATCATTGAAAAAGAAAATTCAACTAAGCCAACATTTTTTGGTTATCATCTGAGTGGAAAATACATTATCGTGCTTAAGCAAAAACATTTAAAAATCATATCGACGACAATAATATTCATTTCATTCTTCATTGTTTTCAATTTTTCAATTTTCCTACGCTGATAAATATTCTCTTAATTTACAAAGGTATTGCTGGGTTCACCATATAAAAATAGTACAATTAAATTACTTAAATCCTTAACAATAACCGTGAAGACAACATCAATTTCTCGCTATTTTGGAAATGCACTTGTTCAGTAGTAGAATAAAAGTAAAGTTACGGCCTTTATACTTCCCACTCCTGGGCACAGGAGTGCTCTTTTATGATGAGTTTCCCGCGGGGAATGAATATGTCCTCTGCGTTGCCCCAATGCTTATTGATGGACTTCACAAGTCTTCGAAAATATATTTTTTAAATTTCTCAGACGTTCAGATTTCCTTACGACGTCTCCTTTCTTAACCAAGCACGGGGTACATCTGCACTTAAGTTGCAATTAATAATTGCATTGGTGTCGTCAGATTTCGAATCCGGATTGCTCGCGTACCAACTGTGTAATTCATTATTATTACATAGTAGCTATT